AGAGAAGCATCATTTTTTATTCCCTTCCTCTGCCCATGACCCATCTTCCTCCACATGGAGGGAGCATAGAAGTAGCAGAAGGTGCTGCTATCTGGTGCTAGGGCAGAAATTCTGGTCTTTGACTTAGTGTATCAAGAAGCCAACCATAGTTTCTCCCAAATTTATCTGTAGCATCATAGAGCAAAGTGTATGTCCAGTGTATGTATTATCATCTTAGGTTTCCAAGAAAAGTGCTCTGAATTACTGTACGGGGCTATTTTTTCAGATCCTGAAATGTATTTGTAGAACCAGCAAGGCAGCTTGCATGTCTGTATAATTTCTGTGAAGAGATGAGTTTGAAACTCATTCATTGAAGAAAAAAGAAAAAAAAAAAACAACACCCAAAATTAGGCACTAAATAATGAATGACACATCTGACTAATTCTGTAAGGCCGTTTATCTTGTATATGAAATACACTTATGTATTTTATATCTTCTTATAGTTATGCTGATACACTATTGTCTATTAAGTCAGAGGCTTCATCTCAAGGCCAAGATTATTTAAGCTGGAATGATATCCAGAACTGCATTGACATGGTTAATATACAAATTCAAGAAGAAAATGAAAGTAAGTAAGCCTTCCTACATTGCCTGCACAGATGATAGTATGGTCTTTGGTATATAAATTTCTGTGCTGAATGGCTTTGGACACTCTTTAAGAGAGAAGAGCATTAAATAATTTTGAATGCCCACTGGTTGTTAAATATCCTTAAAGTATTCCTGGTTATGTTTTGGCAGGATGAAAGATATTGTATGATGCCTGTCTTCTGCAGTGTTACAAATGCCATAATTCTGCCCACTTGGCAATATCTATCAGTATATGCACTGGATGGTCTTGCTTTGGGCATTTTACAGAAATTGTATGTGAAAAGCATATTGGGGGGTGGGGAAGAAACCACAGATAATGTCTTGTGGAAAAAAGGTTTTTTTAAATGTTAAATTATTTCCAAGCCCTTGTTTTTCATTTCACAAGAGAGTTAAGTTATGCAGTGAAATTATCTGTCCTGCTCTCCTTTTAGGTAACTTGATTTCCTGTGTGAAAGTAGTTTATATGCCTGGTTTTTCTAATATAAATAGATTTAGAGTTTATTTTTCAAGATTAATGTAACTATTGGCCCTTAATTATATTAATGTGATGACTGGTCATTTGGGCTTCAAAAATGCTGAAGGAACAAGTTTCTCCACTCAATATAAAAGTATGATTTTTTTTTTTTCCCCACTAAAATTTGAGGCTATCAGATTATGCCCAATTTGTTGGAGCAAGGAAAGGATAGGGCAACTTTCAGACTGCTTGACATCTGGGAAGCAGTCTGGAGTATAGTTTGAGAGTCTGTAAGGTGCAGGCTGTTTCCAGGGTGGCACTGGCACATGGTGCATGTGCCCTTCCCACTCTGCCATCAGTGTCCAGCGTGCTACAGTTTCATACTGGTAAGAAGAGCTTTATGTTACAGAAGTACTAAAACCGACTGAATTGTTTCCTCCTAAATCTTGTCAAGCGGTTGCCACGGACCCTTGCAGCTTGCTTGTGTGTCCTCTGGCAGGGTGGGATGCTGAACAGTTCATTTGACTGACATAATGATTTTTTTTGTCTGAATCTCTGCAGTAACTAGGATTTGAAGCATGACTTAAAGCGGGTTTGCATTAGGAGAGTCAGTCTTAAGTACTCAAATAGCTGCCATTTGTTTCAGTGACACTAGCCTCTACCCTGGGTTGTTTTTTGGGGCAGAGAGAGGAGGAGGAAGGGTGGTCTTTATTTCCATAAGCAAGCCCTCATTGTCTGCATGGTCCCTCTTTGGTAGCAACCCAGAAAAATTGCTCATATGCAAAGCCTCAGGAGGGCATGGATCCGTAACATCCACCACCTGGCCTGTGGTAGGTTAGGGAGAGACTTAGTGAGCGATAACCTGCTGTCAGCAGAGAGGGAGAGTGCTCTTCTGGAGTGGTTTCTTGGAGAAAGTACCCCAAGCAGTGTGTTTCAGCAGGAGGAAATTGATTTTAAAATGTTGAGACCAGTCTGAAAAAAATGTTAGAGGTTTTATTAAATACACTGGGCTGTGTTACATGTTGACTGAAGTTCTGAGTGCCACTGGTCTGAACAATCAAGTGATTCCTCATAAAGTCAACATTATCAGATTGGTTATTTAAGTGAAATTTAAAGAAAACTCATTTAATGCTGTAGCTAGGAGGCCAGTAGATATGTATGTCTAAATCAGAGTTTCAATCTGGTCTGAAATCACTTGAAAATAAGACTTTCAGCACTGTGAGTGAACATGTAGGTGTACATATTTAGATGTGATGCTCAGCCTTTCCTTAAGCTTTATGTAGATACTCCTGCCCTGAAAGTAGGGAAGACTGTTTTCCTTTTTTTCAGCAAGGATAAATTTAACTTTTATGAAGAGGTAGATTCAGATGAATCAATAACTGTGACAGAAAGGAAAACTGTACAGCTTAATAACGTCACATGAATATTTGAGCAAAAATCAATCAGCTGCTGTTGCTGCCTCTGCTTTTTCTTACTTGATTTTTCTGTTCTTTATGTTACTGCTTTGTTTGTACCTGATATCAGATGTTACATCTTTCTTTGATAACTATATCTTTAATAACTTTTCCATTCCATAGGAATCATTGCAATTGGCAACATTAATGAAGCAATTGACCAAGGAAACCCTGAGAAAACTCTAGAAACTCTACTGTTGCCAACAGCCAAGCTGCAAGATGTGAAACCAGTAAATGCAAGGCATTATCAGGATGTTCTGCAACATGCCAAAGCACAGAAATGCAAGGTTAGAGCTTTGACTGTTACTGTTTGTCAGAAATTAAATGCCAATTCTTTTCACCTATATGTGTCCCTGTCCTGTTCTCCCCATGTTGGATTAGCTGTGCCAATGGGGTTGTATAAATAAGCCAATGACAACAAACTGGCATTAAGTAATTTTCCACTACAACTTATTCTGACTGGCAAAAAGGGATTAATTCTCAATGTATTCATACTAAGACATATCCTGCATGTGTGTCACTACTAACTTGACAGAACCTTGCTTATTTTTAATTCTGCTAGGTCTCTGCAGCTATTATAAAATATAGGCAGTAGTCACCCTGATGTAGTTATGAATTTGTGCAAGGATCTAGTTACTAGAGTGTCAGGCAGGTAGTCACAATATGGACAGGAATTAAAATATTTGCCAGAAAGGAGTCACAGTCACTCTGAAGGAGTCATGGTGTTCCTTGACAAACATCTGAAGTACTTTTAGGAGTCTCAGTTCCTTAAATCTGATGTGTTATAATAGTGGAGTTTAGTACATATTTCTGTTGTGTTTTACCATGTAACAACAAGCAGGTTGCCTTGTATGTGCCTTCAGTTTAAACCTATCTCAGCAGGATATTGCTATCTGCTTCCACAAAAGCAGTGCCCTGGTTAGTATCACAGCTCAGGAAAGCATAAACAAAGATCAGCCTAGCAGCTTGCAAGATGTGACTGAACACAAGATTAGCTAAAGCAATTAGCACAGCACTTGAAATGTCCAGTGCTGGAAAAGACAGTTAAAATCCAATAATGCATTCGCAAAGTAATATGGTCAGCTGAAAAATGTTCCTGAACTTCAGCTTGTAGAAATATCTTCCAGTTATCTTGCTACTTTACCTGTGGTACCTGCTGTGAAACAGTGTGTTTTCACAACCTGCTGTCAGAGCTTTCAAAAGGCATTTGCACATCTCAGTTTCTTGCTTGGGTTTCCAGGTAAGGGCTGGTTTCACTGAGCCCTGGATCCTAAAAAAGCACCTCCCTTTCCATGTGTGCTGGGAAGGTTTAGTGCATGTTGACTACTAAATTACCTGTTCTGGAAGGGCCAGGGTTGGTATTTGTATCCAGAGAGTGTCCACGTAGGTGGTGGTTGTGCAGTAGCTGGCTCAGGACATGCCCAACCATTTCTGCATGCGTAGTGAGCTGGGATGTCCCCAAGGCGGAGACCTACAGCCCACACACATCCATGTGCCTGCAACAGCAGCCTTGCCTTGGCTTGCTTCTGCCAGCTGTGTGCTCCCCAGGCACAAACAAGGTGCCTCCTATATCCCTGTGTGAATGTGCTGATAGGAAACAAATGGGTGTCTCCAAGTTTTGGAACAAAAATTGTGCAATGTCTTTGAAGTCTTCTTGTTCAAAAATTTGTGATGTTCCTAGAGACTTCCACTGGCATTTTGTTCCTGAGGTATTTTGGTTTTGTAGTCCTTTGACAACTACTTAAAATGTCCCTGTACACAGGAACACTGCTCCTGTTTAGGAAGAGAGCAAGACACTGTACTATATGAGCTCCCAAAAGAAGTACTCAGATGCATTAATCTGATTTACTTTCTCTGCAGGTCAGTCACACAGACATGACTATTTTCTATGTAAAGATATGATTTAGATTAGACTTTTTTTTTAGAATAGTTCAAACAGAATTGAAAAGCTAGTATGGTGTCTAAAGTCTGTCTATTCCCCAATTTCTCTGAGCCCTGTTTATAAAGCAGATCTGCCTTTGTGTTTAGTATGATTTGAGAGTGAGCTGCAGCAAAAGGAAGAGTTGGGTTTAGAAGGATCAGATAGGTCTCCCTGTGTACTTCCTGTGTTCCCAAGCATCTGGAAAAACATATGGGTCTAACCTACTTGCTTACTCTAACTAAACTGCTGTCACATTCCTATAGCTGTGGTGGATTTGGGAAAGTAGAATCTGTACCCAAATCTCCCAGTACCCATTACAGGTCTTAATCTCAGATCACACCTACTTGTTCCTTGCTGAAAATTGAAAATGCAAACCTGGAATTTATTTATTCCTGTAATCTTAAACCACAGCTTCTAACAGTTCTCAAGGCCAGTTCAAACAAAGTGTTTTCTGGTTCTACTGAAGGGAACTCCCGTGTTTAGGGAGCGTATTATGGTTAACTAGTGTTAAACAGATGTGCCAAACTCTGAAATGGTTCCTGTGTCATTTAGTTTTTTGAATGATAGGCACACAGGTTTTACAGATAGGTTCATGGCTTTTTATATTTACAACAGTTTTATAACATCTGAATTATTTTAAATTTATCTTTAAATCTGTTCTTGTGCGTGTTGAGGGAATGGCATGATTAAAACTAACTTAAATTAGGAACCAGAGAAAATTGAAGGAGGGTACACTTACCAGGCTGAAAATTCCCTGAAGACATTTTCCAGTACAAATGATTTTTATCTAAGTAAAGTTTTTTTTTACAATACTATTATCAAACTGATGTAAAACATTGTTTCTCATCACTGTCTTGCATGCTGCAGTTACAAACAAAACCACCAAACACTGAGCTCATTTTGTAGGAACTTACACTCAGTATATATGTAGCTTTTGAGTTTCTGTAAATGTAAAAGATGACCCTTTGCTTTATTAATGTGGACAACCAGTCACAACTAGCTTCAGTCAGTATTTGTAACAGCATAGGTATTTCCTGTGAGGATGTGGAAACAGAGAATACTACAAAACAGCTTCTCTGTTTTATTTAACAAGCAAGAATAACACATGCCTGGATTCACACTGATAAGGGTTAGTTCCCAGCAACCCTCATGGACTAGAGGAGTTCAGGCACTGACAAAGTGGAAGAACAAGTCCCCAGTGCAAAGCTGGTTAAGCAGCCTCATAGGAGATGCTGCCGTGGAAGCGTCAGACTCTGTGACTACAGCTGTAGATTTACTGCTCCTTGAACCTGTGGGGATTCTGGCTCTTTATTTCCAACATCCAGGATAGTATTTGCTCTTGGCTATGTGACAGGGAGCTTGACAGCTCCTGGGTATGTAGAAAGTGCTTTTATTTGTTCCCATTTCCACTGGGCCAAAAACTTGTTTTCACATCACTGTTCCTGCAGTGATTGTGAGCTAAGAGCTAATCTGAAGTGTTTGGAAATAATGAATGGGTTTAAAAGTTCTGTTTGGATATTGATTCTTCCGGTGTTCAGAGGCTGTGGTTTCTTCTCTGTAGCCATGAAAGTGATCTTCTCAGAAGGAAGTGGAGGTGTGGAGCCACTTCCCTGGGTCTAGGCACAGCAGATATTGCAATGTGCATGATAAAATCGTAGAGCTGGAGAGGTGTATTTCTGAAGATATTCTTTGTGTGGTGTGTGGAAGAAAGTAATTTTTACTGAGACTGTGTTTTTAGCACTTCAAAATCTAAGTTTAATTGTTGCTCCTGAGGTTTGTTGCTGCCTGGGTTAATACTACACAAATCCGTAATTAAAATAACATAAATATAGAACTAAATTCAATTTTCCCTGGATATTTTAACCATTGTTAGATAGATATTGGATTGACTTCTAATTTTTGACATCAGAAAATAAAGGAAAGGATCAAGACAACTGTTCAAACTGCTAAGGCATAAAGCAATTAGATAAAAAGAATACAACCCATCTGTGTTATAATAGTAATAGTTGATGTGATGGATAATAAGGATAATATTGCTTGGCACAAAGCTAATAGCAAAGATGGCAAGGATCAAAAGACTGACTTTAACATACCAGAACCACTCATGAGTCTTGAGTGTGCATATAATTGAAACATAGCAGAAAACGATAGTTGCAAGAGGTATTAATAACCCAAAGATAGCTAAAGAAACATAGTAGTAGAACTGGAAGGAAGATATTGTTTCACAGGCATTGTGCACATCATGACAGGTATAAATATCCAGTTGTTTCACGTAATAGCTTTGTTGCATTATACAAAGTGGGAGCATGTACAGGAACACAATGGTCCACACAGTAGCACAGACCGCGATGGCATAGGCACGTTTTGGCAGGCTCTTGTAGGTGAAGGGGTGAACAATGGCCATGTAGCGGCTGACACTGATGCACATGAGCAGCAGAATGGAGCAGTACATGTTGCCATAAAACACCACAGTGGTAGTTCGACACATCATTTCCCCAAAAATCCAGTTGTTCCCGTTGATGTGGTATACTATTTTGAAGGGCAACATGATGCAGAAGAGCAGATCTGAAACTGCCAAGTTTGTGTAGAGGATGGCAGTGCACACAGACCGGATTCTGAAGAGCAACATCCACAAAATGATGGCGTTAGATGGTACACCTAACAAAACAGCACTGAGGTAGATGGTAGGTATTAGCTTGGTGCTCAGAGAACTGGTCAGGTACTCCAGTGTCGTGTTGTTCACCTCTGTTAAAGTAGAGTCATTTGACTTTTTTGAAGAGCATTTGTGTTCTCTAATATGGATAGTTGTTGTCTCCCCTTCTATAGCATAAGGGGGGATATAATCGTAGTCTCTTGCTGAAATTCCACGAAAAGTCTTGATAAGAGACACTGTTTTAATTGCAGAGCTATTCAACGAAAATTCTGAAGCTTAAAAAAAAAAAAAGTTAAAATTGTTAGAAAGGGCAAACTACTGAATTAGCAATATAACTCACCTTCCGATATGGAGAATAGTAAACATCTACATGCGAAAAGCAACAAATGTTTAAAAGATTTGGCGTCATTCTCCTTTGCTCTGGGTGTTCATATCAAGCATAATCAAGGACAATCTTTATTTGTTATCTCACATCCAACCTTAAAAATTAGCATGAATTTAATATTAAGATGACCTTTCTGCATTTTTCATGTTTTCGGTCATCTTTGGCAAAAAATATCAGACACTTGTGGAATGTTTGACCTTTATGAGGTTTTTCTCAGTAGTAACAGTGTTGGTAATTCAGCATATGAATAGCAGTCTTGGCCTAGGTCTGATCAGAACTTCCAAAGCAACTCTGGTACTGCCCTTGTCACTTTGCAAAAGGTGTGAAAAGCACTGTCTTGCCTAACACAGGCTGAAAATTACAAATTAGAAAATTGAAATAACTCATTTTTTTGGTCTTGCATATGAAATTAATGTTGTTCTTCAGCTTCTGACTAAACCAGATCTTTTCAGCTTCTCATATGTGAGGAAGGGCAGTTAGTCTTGAGAACTGAAAACAAATTCTTGGATTTGTAATAGATCAAATTTATTGTTAAGTGAATAAAACTTCATGCAGCAGGAATATTTTCAGTGAGTAAATACTGTCAGCATGTGGACAAAGCCAATGATGCCACTTTTATTAACGCTTGTTCCTCGTCTTTAGCAGAGAACTGTGTAGAGACATTGACATTTCCAGGAAAAGCATAAATGTGTTCAAAATACTTTCTAAAACCATGTGATGAAAAATACATTTTTCAGAATAAACAGCTGTGTAGCTAATTCTGTAATTTAAAATTTTTGTTAGCTGTGTTTAATGCAAAAGGACAGTGTAAAGCTTATATCATGCATCTTGAAACTGGAAGTCAGAAGCAAAATGAAATTTGGATGGAAACCTGTGGATTTTTCTTTTACCCTTCCATATTGGAATGAGATACAGAAAACAGTTCTATCAGTGCTCACTGGTACATTTCTGGCAGAATATTTTGAAATTATAATTAGTAGATTGTGTCCCTTGTAGTAATTTTCTGGATGGTTAATACAGAGAATTAATTTTAGACAACTATTTACATGCATGTGCATATAGTATATATATAAAATAGAATTTAAAAATGAGCTTGGTTTGAAAATAGCTTTAATTCTAGTGAGGAAAAAAATAGCCTATTATTTGATCATTTCCTTTGGTTATTTTAGTCACAATGGTTATCTAAGCATTTCCTTCTAATAGCACAATCTGTGAAGTCATAATTCTGCTGAATATTTTAAAGCAGAAAGAACAAGACTCTACAGGTTTAGGATTACCATATCACTACAGAAATACTAGAGAAAGGGTGAATCTTCAGTAAGCACAGAAAGATCCCTTAAATAAAATTCCATATAGAAAGTAATAGGGGTGAGGTAAGGTGTCACTGAAATGGAAGAAAAAAAATCTGCCTTAGGTGAGATTTCCTAGAATATAGTTTTCTGTAATGATGCATGTGCAATGTAATTAAACTAAAGAAGTGCCAACATTGTAAAAAAGCCCATGTGATTGACTAAAATATAAATTAGATACAGAAAGGAGGACTCACCTGTTGTGAAAATACTGAAGGTAAGAGAGATCAGTCCAGTGAAAACCGGTATCTTCATTGTAGTACGGGAAATCCAGCTAGCCAAACAATGATGCTGCTCTAGTTCATTTCAAGAGGTTTTCTGTGGGTTTTACCCCCTTCGTAAAGTACTAAAGAATGATTGATCTGTCCTCCAGAAGCATCCTGTAGGCATGAGGTTTATGGCAAGGAGCTAGTTTGTTCTTTGTCTACTACAGCAAGAGGGTGTGACGTATCCAAATATGCACACATGACTCAGTTTCAGCCTCTGCCCAACACAGAGATAAAATTGCTTTACAGAAGCAGTTTAACTCCTAATTCACCACAAGCCAGAAGCTGATGTGGGTGGTTCTACTGGAATTTGTACATACAGATATTTGGGGTAAAAAAGTTATTTCTGGAAAAATTGTAAATCCTCCAAGGGTCTCCTCCACAGATCCAGATGCAATGTTGCTGAACTCTGTACCCTTCTCAAGGAAGAAGCCAGGCTTGGAGAAGAGTGTGGTGATTTTGGTTTAGCAAATACAAAGGTGAAAGCAAGCCACACATACAAACATGCCTTAAGAAAACTGTGCTGTGCTTTGCCTCTTACCTCCCTACCCACTGTTAGCTGTCTGTGCTCCTTCGATCCAGCTGTTGGCTTTGCTCAGACAGTTCCCACCCCTCCACAGCCTGCAATCCCTAAAACCTTTCCCCTATTTCCATCTGCTGTTTTGTTGATCAAAAAAAAAAAAAAAAAAAAAACAACAAAAAACACCCCAAACCCCAAAACAAAAAAAAAAACCAAACAATGGCTTACTTCAGCATACAATATTAACCAAAGTCTTGATCTGGCATCCAAGCGAGTGGCAACGCTTGGCCTAAGCTGTTTTTGGCTCCAGAGCAGTATTTGCGTCTGTTCTTGTATTTAGTTTGTAAAAGCTGGATACCAGATAAGGAATTATTTTCAGTTTTTCATTCCTTTTCTCAAAACTGTCAGTTGTAGCTTGGTAATTTAATATACACTCTTTCAAATGTTAACCCTGACTTTCTTGTTAGAAAAACGTGCTGTGTGTCCACTGTCATACAATTGCCTGATGCTACTTGATTTTATTTAGATATTCTGCTACCTTGTTTACATAGATGATGCAAACTGAAGAGTCTGTCTTTAGTGGGTTTTACTAGTTTTCTCTTCGTAATTTATGTGGATAACAGATTTATTGGATTTTTGGCCTGGAGCTGGGCACAAAACCAGGACTATTCATTGTGAAGCTGGTTCTTTGTCCACACTGCTTCAGCCTGAGAGAGTTTACGGGTTGGTTTTTTTTCATGAAATATTTGTGTGTGTATATACTTCTAGATCTTTATCAAATAAGTACATTCCAATCTCTCTCATCATTAGTCTACTGTAGACCTGGCACTCCTATTTCCTCATTAGGATGATTTTTTTCACCCACCTACTGGATTAGATTTTAAATGTCACATTAGCTCCAAAACCCTATTTTGTCACCTGAAGTCTTGGTTTACCTGTGAACCTGGGCAGCCAGAGCAGGGTTGGTTAGTGGGGATAAGCCCACTTTCCTGACCTATTTGAATTTGGGTTTGATGTCATGCACTCATCCTGTATGAAGAGTGAGATCTGCTGCTTAATTCCTGAAATATTCACCACCTGAGCTATGTTATCATTTCTAAATTTGAGGTGTCTTTGTCAGTTCTCACTGTTATTTTCTAATGTAATTTATACCAAGGTGCATATGCTGATTATTTCCAAATAAGGGGTCCTGAAAGAAAGCCAACTTCCTGCAGTTTTCTGCTTTATGCTCTTTATGCTATATCACATTCCTGTCTGATAATGTGTGGTTTTATTTGACATTCAGATTACTTTGCTTGGAAATAAAAATGTTTCCACTTAAAATGTTTGTTGATCTTTAGCAGGATGGTGTTTTCTACACGTGAAAACTTTAGGAGCTTTCTAATTGAACAGGAACTTATTCAAGTCAGTAAATAGAATATGAATGTGGGGTTTTGCTGATTTTAAGCAGTCAAATTCTTTTTAGTGTCCAAGGGCTTCACAAGAAGAGCTTGTATATTGGAGCTCTATCAGAATGTTCAGACAAATTTTGTTGTTATTCAGGTTTTTTCAAGGCTTTTCTCTATCCTTTTTCCAGGAATCCCAAGATGAATCAGCACTTCTGTGGTTGGATGAAATACAAAAAGGAATCAGTGATGCCAATAACAATATAAAAGAAGTGACAATTCGTAAGCATTAACCTGTGTTTGTGTTGCTCTTGTTTTTCTTAGTTTTGAAAAACTGAAATTGGTTATTTATTTTTTCCACTTCAGGGAAGTGTGACAGTCCTTTAAAATACATCAAAAGAAACAAATACATTTTCTTTGTCATACTGAAATTAGGGTGACTTAGATCTTCAGGGGTGGTGGTGTTTTTATCTAAAATGGTAATCCTTAAGGCTTGGCTAATAATTTAGTGGATTTGCTTATACAGATTGACATCACAAAGATTTCTAGTGTACCTTCACATAGTAGGTGAAACAGAAAGCTATGTGAATGGGAAGGGATATGCTGTTCAGGAGCTTCTTTTTCTTATATAAGACTAAAATCTTGATGCATGTTGTAAGAGAAAATTCTTACAACTTTGCTTATTCTTATTTCATTACAATGTCTTTTATTAAATGATGATAAACAAAAACTAGGAACTTAATTTTATATTAACTTTAAAAGTAGTGTAAAAAATCACTGAGGTTTTTTGGAGAAGCTCGTGCTCTTCTAATCTGTAAAGAGGAGGAAATCTGTAGGAAAAATGCTGAGGCTTATCCTGCCACAGCATTGTGTACTGGATGCAGTCAATACCTTCTGTCAAAGTTTGGATTGAACATAATTTTAGAAAGATAGTCATAATGCATAATAAACCTTGGCAAGTAATTGTAGAAGCAACTGAAACTGGGTGTATGAGGCACACTGGAAAGCATGGTGGCATCCCTACCTGTTCTTGCTTGGGACCAGCACAGAGCAGTCAAGGCTGTTAGCTTGGCATTGGGTATTGATTCACCCTCTGCTTGGCTTGGCTTGGGGTGAGTCAGTGTCACCTTCTTTTGCACCCTAAGAGCTTGTGAAACAACTGCTGAAGTCATTGCATTCCTACAGTGCTGCACTCAGCTTTCGTTAGTGCAGTGCAGCAGCCTGTTTACTTATAGGCAGGCTGTGTCAATAACTAGTGCTTGGAAAGTTGTGAGTGGAAGAAAACACGCACAGTTAGTGATTACGAAATCTTCTACCCCCGTTACAGAAACATTGCATTTAGTGTTACTGTTAATTTAGAATGGATTTACTTGATTAATACGGTCTTAATGTAAAAAGTCAGATACACTGAAGACACTTGAAGTATTTTTCTAGGTCATGCATCTGTAGTGTAAAGCACCTCACTTGTGTTTTCTGAGGCAGGGTCAGATGAACACATATTGTTTCAACCTTGTAGAGCTCTTGTACTCAGGAGTGCTGATTTCTTCTGCGGACAAAAATGGCTTCCTATCAATGCTAACCAGAGGCATAAGAAACATCCTGAGTGTAGAGAAGGGAATGAAATGCATATCTTATAAACAAATGGAAATATTTTCAAACTGCTCTTTAGATTTCATTCTCATTTGTGTCCACTGGTGTAAAAGCATGAAGAATATATCTCATAAATGGCCTGCAGAAATTAGCACAACATTATCTATATAACAATACCATACGAGCTTGCTGTTGTAGTAAAATCTTTTCATAAATTCTGTGTTTGTAATAAATGCATAGCTTTCCACAATCAAGTATGATCAGTAGAAGTGTTTTAACAAGTCGCTTGTGGAAATAACTACTAATCTCTTGTACTCTGCCCTCTGGGTTTAAAGGAAGCAGTGTCAGCACAGCACATTCTTCAGAAGAGCTCTAAGGTTTTGCAGCTTAAAACTGAGATTTAAAATTTCCCCATAGCACAGAACCTGATACTTCCCGTAACAAACATCCTGTCTCAGGAAGTTATCATGTTGTGCTCACATAGTCTAAACTTGAAATTGAGCTTGATCACAACTTGGAAAGGAGCTTTTATTTTGATCTATCTCACAGATGCTATTTTTGAAAGGCAAACAACTCCCCAAGTCCCACTCCAAAACTTTTGTAAGGCAGCCAAAGACTTATTTTTCAACTAGAAAAAAAGTGTATTTTTGGAATAGTAGTAATGGCAATAAAATAAGCAATAAAATAAGAGAACATACTGACAACTGGACTAAAATAGTCTTGACCTCTTCCAAACTAATTTTTATGCCTTATATAAATATTAAATACTACAGTATTAAAATTTTAAAATACTTTTGCAAACTGTCTTCCCTGTAAACACAGTAAAGAACTCTGTAACTTGTATCTTTATCTAGAAAGACATGTTCAGTAAATGCAGGTGTGCTTCCTAATTCTTTGTGGCGTTTGCTGTGCAGTTTCCTTCACTTCTTGAATCAGTTCAACCATTGTACTCCTTATCTAAGTGGAGGACAAAACAAAATTGGCCAAATACCAGATGTATAGCCTTCAGGAATAGACACCAATACCAACCTTAGTCTTGCACAGGAATAGATCATCTGTCAAAGCCGAATCTGTCATAAGAGTCCATGTTACAGGAAGTAGCAGTTCTTTGGCCATGTTAAAAGTTCAGGCTTATCACACCAGACATCTGCATCTTTGTATATCATAGCTGTTTGTAGGGAAGATGGGTGTAGAAAAGAGCCTTTCAGAGTGTTGATCTGATACTGACAACCCAACTGCTGCAGGAGCAGACTGGAGCCCATAGTTCTGTTGCATCTGGGAATGGCTAAACTCTGTTTAGCTTATAATTTTACAGTGTTCACATGGCACTTCTTTAGAGCAACAACTGCAGCATTAATTGCTAGCATTTCAGTGAAAAGGAATAATTTCTGTTGAATTGGGTGTTTTCCCTACTAAATATTTTTCTTACATATTCGTTCAAAAATAAAAGCATAATTGATAATGAGGAAAAAGCTAGGCAGCAGCAGACCTACAGAAACAGTGTTTAGCTAGGTTGTGTGCTCTTCTGTCTTTACAACAACAGCTTCTAGCACCCATAACTGTAGGATGGAAAGGAGCAAGAAAGCATTTGAATACTGGTGACCAGAGTTGATGAAGCA